ATCCTTCGGTGTTGGTTGCGGGGTGCTCGAGCCGCCATCTCTTTTACCCGTAATAACATCGCAGAAAGAGAGTGGGCCAGTGGAGTTGCCCGTAGGCGGCCCGTCTGTGTCGGTGTTGGTCGTGGAAGGGCCCGTCGGTGGAGTCCCGACTGAGGAAGGTCCAGGAGGTTGAGCCACGATTGTCGAATTTGGGCCCGCAGCAATCACGCCGTGTTTATTAACATACAAGTTGTTCGGTTGAGTTTCTCCGGCAGCAGCGGTGGGTAATCCGGTGGTTTTTTTGGTCGGAGAAATGGCCGTACGCCGGGGCCCAAGAATTCCTGTTGCAGAAGACGATTCCCGGATATCCCCGGCAACCATGTCCGGCGCCACACAACCATTAGCCTTGGCCGCGTTCGTCTTGCTAGGACCCGGGACAATCACCCCCTCTTTACTGACGTACAAAATTTCCGGTTCGGGGTCGCCAGCAGCAGATGAGGCTATTCCGGTGTGTTGGACAGTCGGAGGTGGTGAGGTTGGCCGGGGCCCAAGAATACCGAGGGATTCGGTCCTAAAAACCGATTTCGGGCCTGCCCCGTGTGGAATATCTGCCGGCGGAGGTTCACCGGTGGAGGTCCGGTGGTCGTCTCCGGTCAGTTAGTTGTCGGTGGTGGCATGGATGTGGCCGGAGGAGGAAGCCTGCTGATGGCAGTCGACGGCCGCGAGATGTCCGCCTGGGGTGTTTATCTGAGTGTAAATGGGTGTTGAAGATGCTGGTTGGGGGGTTTGGAAGGGTACAGGCTTGGGCTGTGTATCATTGTTGGTGGCCTGTGTGGAGACAAGCTGGGTTATGGAGTTATCGGGCTCGGTGATGGGCTGCAGATTGAAAGAGGTGATGTGGTCCTGAGTATGAAAGGGGAGAGTTGGGCCTAGTTGAGGGTTGGGCCCAGAAGCTATGGTGTTAATTTGGCCCAATGAGCAAAAGTGCTCTGGTCCAATAGCCTGGGATTGATCTTTAAGAGTGATTTTCCTCTCAAACCCTACCAATTCGCCGACGTTTATCAGATGCGATGGAGGAGTAGTTGTTTGACCAGTCAAGATCGAATGGTCGGCGACCCTGATCATCTTCTCTGGCAAAATCGATTTAAGCGGCGGAGGGTGCAATCCGACTTTGAGCCGCGGGTCCATGTGTTTTGTTCGGCTTGAACCAGTGGTCATTGTCCCTTGATTTGTCGTTTTCTGACCAACCGAGTCTTCCGATCGGTCCTTGTCTTCTTTCAGCTGTAACGGGGAGTGCCCATGTGACGTGACCACCGGGAATTTGGCCTTGTCCATTTCCGTCGAGCAGGTTGCTGTGGGGAAGCCGATGACTTGAGTTTTATTGATGAATAATTTTTTGGTTTTTTCTTGTTCTTGTTGCCGAGAGTTGAGAGGTTGGTGGTGACCGGAATCCGGTTGTAGAGCGGTGGTTTCTGGCTTCGGCTGGTTACTAGAGTCCGTCTGCAACATGGTGGTTATCGCCATATCCTCAAACTCCGGTGAAGTGGTCTCGGCCCGATTTGTGTCGGAGCCTTCAACTATCTCGCCTTCTTCCAGATTAATTCTATCTCTTTCTACCACAAATGTGGATTTGCTTTTTGCGAGAAACGCCGAAAAAGCCTCTCGGATTTCTGGCTGTGAAAAGAACAGTTCCAGCTCCGGGGTTTGACCCGGCGGTGGGGCTTGATTGATGGCCGTGGATGACGCCGAATGGGTCATGGACAAAATGACTGAAAATAAAATAGAATTAAAAAGGATTAAAAGGAAACAACTGGAAATAGGAAAAAATGAGGTGGCCCCGTCGGGTTATTTATTTCAATACAACAGGTCAACGCCGGAAGTCAACGGTCAATGCCGGAAGTCAACGCCGGAAGTCAACGGTCAACGCCGGAGTCAACGGTCAACGCCGGAGTCAACGGTCAACTATTTTATTATTTAATTAATGTATATTTTAATTGATTTTGATCTAGACAAAATGAGTGGTTAAGATTGAGTCTCACGTACTCATTTTAAGGAGTGGTCTCATTGGATCCATCCCCTATATATATATATATATATATATAAGACAAACATTAATATCACTTGGGCATTTATTTCAAATAAATAATAATTATGTCGAATAAGCAATATTCAAAAATTACAATAATCAACGGCTCAGATTCGAATCACGCGATTAGACCGAAATCGCCGAACGACGAACGTTTTAAGATAAAACGATCGAGTACTATAACATATTATTTAGGTCGACATCACGACCATTAAAATAAATAATATCATAAATAATATTAGATAAATAGAATAATTCGAGAAATTCTATAAATCGAATGGGGCGCTACAAGAAAAGTGGGTGGTAAGTCCTGATTGACTCTTTGATTTGAAAAACTGTAGAGGGCCCACACAGCCCTCTATAGTTCTACACCGCAGCTAACATTGATCACTTGGGTGCTACTCGATGCTGGCCACCCCAAATTGATCTAATTCTGATTTGAGTCTCTTTCCAACCTCTTGTTTAGAAGTAGTAACTTCATTTTCTGGGATTAATGATTCAGCAGTTGATCTAGTCCTTTTCAACTAATAGGTTGTGTTATTAAAGAAGGCATATCCAACTGTCTTTGTAATCTTCCTTCCTTAGTTCATTGATCCAGTTGCATGCGGTTCTCCTAGCATCGCTGATAGTAATTATTTTTCATTAGTTATGATTTTATTCTTTAAAAGGTGATTTAACATTGTTTTGAAGTTGATTTGTCGTAGCTGTTTTGTGACGGTGGTGTTGCGTAATATAATTTACTTCTTTCTTTATCGTTTCTTTGTTTTGTTATAAACTACCAATTCATTGAACATATCGATGAGAGAAAAATATTTTATTGTATAATACTTCTATTGAACTAAATACAACTTAAAGTTCATATTGACTTGTTAATACCTGGTACGCAAAAGACCTCCGACCGGCTGGGAAATCGGTCTGCTTCGAGCTCCTCGCCGATTGAACGTCTTTAGACCTGCAAAAACTCTCACACCGAAGGGGTTTTTCGGTGAAGAGCATCTGATGCCTAAGTTAGAACTTGTAGAAGATGAAGTATAGTATGAGTGTGTGGAATAATGGAGAATGTAATGTGATAATGAGCATATCTCACTTCCTTATATAGGGAGGTGATACCTTGTTGTTCAAGAGTGCCCGAGTGGGCTGCCTGAACCGCCCTTTTGTACTGCTCGAATGGTCAGATCTTCCCAAACTATCTAATTTTGTTAGGCGACGTGGCCCTATCCACGTGCGACTCTTATCCTCTTAAGATTCCTTCTTATCTCTTTCTCTTTCATATTAGATTGTCTAATGGTGCGACCAGCTTGAAGTTTCCTGAGGTAGAATGTTGCCTGTTTTGAGCCTAATTCTGGTCGATCACACGACCAACCATGTGTTAGTGTGTATACTGAATTCTTGGCTTTAGATGTTATTCACACTATTTATGTTGAATGAAATTTCATGTTTGATTAAATAAATTCTATGTTCTATTGCTTTGCATTTAGATAAATGGTTCATCACAGATGGACAGAAGATCATTTTCAGTTACTTGCGAAACATAAACAATTGGTTCACAACCTAGATGAAAATTGAATAAACTATCGGAATGGTTATAGTGTAGACGGTACAGTCGGTCTTGGCGGATTAGTCATACTAGTACACATTGGTGTATTGACTTGATCATAGAGAGGAGCAATTCGTTTTATACTGATCAAAGTAAACATACTGGGTCTCGGCTAATTACTGCGTTCTCTTAACCCGTAAGATATAAACAGACATATGTATGTAGTAGTTACTGTTTTGATTCATCAAAGTGAGGTTTATTGATCATGGACCAATAACTGTCTATTTTGGATAGTGATTCCTTTATGACATGGTGTTCTGTTATAATTTTTTCATTATTATTTTTCATTTCCAAATTTATATAATTAATCTTAATTTAATAAAATATAAATATATAAATTTATTCAAATTTAATTTAATTTAAATACACTATACTATAATAAATTCTATCTTACTTTATTTTAATTTATTTTTTATTTATTATTATATAATTCACTTTCATATATTTTAATTATTAAAATTTCATATATTATTAATTTAATTTATATAATTTACATTATATTTTATATTTAATTTGATTTGTTCATACCTTGTCTATGTATATTAAACACTATTAAATTTAACACATAGCTTTGATTGTTGTGGTGGTTATTACAATGCTTTCATGCAGCCTTGAGGTATCAAGTTCGAATCTCATCAGTGTTAAAATATTTTATCGCCACGCTTGAGGTCTCAAGTTTGAACCCCAGCAATATTAAATTTTTTTTATTTTTTTATCGCCACATTGGCAACCATCTCAGCAAAAAATTGTCATGCCAGCCACGTCAGTAGCCATGTTAGTAGAAAATTGTATGTCAGTAGAAACGCCACGTCAGCAAACAAGTAAAAAGAAAGCCCGAATTTGGGCCCTGTGTATCTAATTGCCAACAAAAGTTAAAGTGATGTTTATATTTGCTAAGTTTAAAAGTGGCAATATAATTGTAATTTTTTAAAAAATCATAATTCTATTAGCAATTAAGCTTTCACAAAATAATTAGTATGTTGCAACTTCAAATTCACGAAGAATCGTCTCACTAAAATTATTATTTATTAGAGAAGATAAAAAAGAAAAGAAATGGAAGGGGAAAACAAAATTGCAAGATAAGAATTGGTATATAAAAGGTGGAGGAGGTGGACATGTAAAATTGAAGCGTCATGTTAATATAGCGTACGTGTCGATTAGAAGGGAGCTAAGTATCATGCAAGCCGCTACTTGTACTGCCTATGCATTTGCATGCTCGCCACGCATTTTGCCCTATTTCTTTTCTCCTATTTATAAACCCACCCTTTTATCCCCGGAACTACATTACTTTGTCTGACTTAGCCAAAGGGTCTTGTTTTAATTTGTTTGTAAAGAGAGATGGCGTCTACCATTGTGGCTGCCGCCGTCGACAGAAATGCTGCGATGGCTTCAGATGCGCCGCTTGCTCCAGTTACTTTGGAGCGCCCTGTGCGCACCGACTTGGAAACTACAATTCCAAAGCCTTGTGAGAGATTCTTTTCTTTTACAAATCAATTCCGCTCATTACTTATATATTACATTACGGGATGTTGTTATTTTTATATTTTCAAATTGGGGTGTTTGTACATCTCTTCTTTTTTTCAGTCTCTTGTAAACCTAATTTCACACTGGATTTGTTCTCAATTTCATTACATCTGATGGTAAAATTTTGACAAATAAATGTGTCTTTGAATTGTATTCTGTTGGCACGTTTACGATTTTTTTTTTTTTTTTT